ATGATAATATTTTTAAGAAAACAAAGTTATTATTTTTTTTTTTATTTTTTTAATTATTTATATCTTTGTTATTGGAAAACACAAACTTAGGGAATTCAAAATTTAATAAAAAAAGTTAAAATTAAAAAAATATTTTAAGTCGCCGATGGAAGCGGACTAAAAAGCACCTTATATTGTGTTTGGAAATTTTACTATGCTACTGCGACATTACTGTATTAGTTAACGGTACACTCCAAAAATGCAGCAGCTATTAAGCTGCAGTGTTAAGAAGAAGAACTTGTTAGAATTTATGTAAAAAAAAAAAAATATTATTTTAAAGTTTCGTTTAGATAAGAGTAATGGCACGCAATAAGTACTCAAGTGAATTTAGAATTAGAATTCTTGATGATTGGAGAGCCGGCTTATCAAGACATCAAAATATTCGATCAACAGATCAATTATTTCTAGGCTAATTAAAAAGTTTTTGCAGACTGGTCGCACATCTCCTACTCATTCTGGAGGAAGGCCACGTGAAACTTCGTCCTTAATCAAAAGGACAATCCAAAATGATCCTACAGCATCTTCTAGTCACATACGAAACCGCTCAGATTTAAAAATTAGCGAAAGAACGATTCGCAGAAGGGCGATAGAGGCCGGATTATTCAGTCGACGACCACCAAAAACCTTTCATATCGTCAAAAAATAGAAAAGCCAGACATGAATTCGCAAAGGCCCATCTCAGCTGGAGTGTCCAAAAATGGAGGACTGTGCTGTTTTCTGACGAATCTAAGTTTAATTTAAAGGATTTAGATGGTATAAGGCGTGTACGCAGGCCAAATGGGCAAAAGTTGAATCCTAAGTATTGCAAAGGCACTGTAAAGCATGGAGGCGGAAACATAATGGTTTGGAGTTGTTTCTCTGGGCAAGGGATTGGACCAATTCATAAGATTGATGGAATTATGGATCGTTTCATGTATCGTGACATATTAAAAGACGTGATGTTGCCTTATGCTGAAGAAGAGATGCCACTACAATAGACATTCCAGCAAGATAACGACCGCAAGCACACGTCAAAAGTGGTTAAAGAGTGGTTTCAGAACAATTTGGTAAAAGTTCACCCTTGGCCTGCCCAGTCCCCCGATCTTAACCCAATCGAGAACTTATGGGAGATCGTTAACTCAAAAATCAACCGAGAAAATTGCAAAACCAAAGAAAATTTATTTGAAGCCGCAAAAATAGCCTGGGAAGCCATATCACCTGATATAATTAATAATTTAATAAACTGTATGCCTAAAAGATGTGCGTGTGTCATCCAGAATAAAGGATTCGCAACGAAATAGTGATTTCAATCGTTTTTTTCTTGTACCTTAAAATGGGGGTGCTTTAGTTTAGACCGCTTATAATTTCGACTTAAAATATTTTTTGAATTCTAACTTTTTTTTTAATAAATTCTGAATTCCTTTCTTGTTTTTCAATAATAAAGATATAAATAAATAAAAAAAATTGTTTTAAATTTTGTTTTCTTAAAAAATTATCATTAAAAAAAAAAAATACTGAGGGGGTTGGCTGATACTGGATTTGGCTGATACTGTAGATTGCGATAAATTTAACAACTGAGTTGACGTTCATTTTTTAGCATACTGTTGTATTTTACTATTTCCAAATAGCCAGGTTTATTCCTAGGGTAATTATATCCCCTACATTGTAAAGGTAAAGGTATGTTCCGTTTGTAACATATAACAATAAACACAGTGGTTCTTGCAATCGCAGAGGATCCCAGTGTCGATTACTTCTAAAAATATTTATTCGAATATGAGAAAAGATAAAGAAAGGTAAACAAAATCAACAACCAAAGACCGTTGGCATATGCAATCTGCGATATCCAAAAAGATAAATTGGCAAGGAGATGCCCGTGGTGTTAATCAGCAAACCTCTGACTGGACTCGGATAGTTATTGCGGAACGTATCACCGTGTTAATTTTTAATCAAAATTTTTTGGGCTGGTTGCATTATTGGATCCTGCGAATGGTTTTGCCTCTAGAGTATTTTTTCATGTCTATACAGATGAACCCGCTTCAATTGACGCATTGTAAGACAAAATTAATTATGAGCTACCGGCCGAAATATTGGAGAAAAAATCCCAACATTGAACTTAGGGGATGGACTGTGCTATAAATTCAATTTTTTCTGAATTTTCTGAACATTGTTTCAAAAGAAGCTTTCGTTTGCTCTTTAAAAATCCTAACTCATGTGCTCCTTGAGATCAAATTGTGTTTGCCCCAAATACATTAGCTCCATGCGAATCTCGTACAGCTAAAGAAAAATTTTTATTTTTCTTATAACTTCCAAAAATCAAAATTTGCCAAAAATATGTTTTTTTACATTTTTTTAGTACACTATGTTGGTAATCTAAATATCAAAAAAAAAAAAAATAATTAACACTTTAATTCATTTAAAGTATCAGATAACAAATAAATATTAAAAGAGATCAAATTTTAATGCCAAACTCGTACACTTCGTACAATTTAAAGTATACATTCATTTACTTTTTACCATTTGTGTAGCCTATTTGGCATACTTCAAAAAGTATTTACCAAAAGATAATTTTTGCCTTTCTTTCAACTAAGCTTCCTTCAAATCTTCTTTGCAAGATATCGTGTGCTGGCGGATTTTTCCATCAAGATAGCTCCATAAATTCTCTATTGGGTTTATGTCTGGACTCTGGGCTGGTGTATCCATGATGTGGGACAATTATATAGCAGCTGTGACCGCACTTTATAAGCCTTGCGTTTCGGATCATTGTCTTGATAAAAAAAAAAAAATAATGATCTTCGCCAAGGCCGAGATTTTCCTTGCAGATTGGCAAACTTTCTTTCAAAATGTTAAGGTACGTAGTCTGATCCATAATATCCTCAATAAATGCAATACATCAAGTCCAGAGGCTGAAAATGAACTCCACACCATTACTGACCCACCACCGTGCCTCACTGTAGGCTTCATATTTTTGGCAAGGGGCGCTTCATTTGTCTTTCTCCATACATAAGGTCTGCCATCTGAACCAAAAAGTTTGAATTTGCTTTCGTCCGTGAACAGAACATTTTTCCAAAATGAAAAATCTTTTGATTTGTGATTTGTCAATCGCAATATTACTTCTTGATTTCGCTTGCTGCTTAGAAGTTTATTTCTAGCTCTTCCTCCATTGCAATTCGACTTATGCAGTATATTTCTTATTGTTTGAGGGCAACATACTTTTCCTAAATCCGTTCCAGCTGTTTTTTTTTACTTATTTGATACACATCCATCTGTTTTGAACCGTTTAATGATGTACTGTAGATCGGCTTCTATGAACAATCTCAGATATCGTACTGAGCGATTTATGGTTTTTGTAATGTTTAATTATTAAATTTCTCACTTCAACAGTTACAAATACATTTTCCAAAAATCTAAACAAGGTTGCCGTATAAATGTAAGCGAATGAGTTTAGCTTTTGCATAGAAACATGCCATTATTTTGTTTAATAAGTAAAAACACTAAATAAATAAACACACTATACACTAATAAACCAGTAAAGAAAGTCTTAAAGCCGGGCGGCCGTCTTTATGATAGCCTACACCACTTTGCATATTTAGTAAAGCTTCACATAGCAATTAAAAGTTTTTATGGTTATTATTTTAATTAAAAGTTCAAAGGACTAAATATACCGGAGCATTTGTATCTTTTCAATACGTGATTGTATTTCCCATTTGGTGCATAATTAACTAGAAATCGGATAAAAATATATATATGGGAGCTATATCCAAATCTGAGCCGATCTTTATAAAATTGGCAAAGATATTTCTGAGCTGTATTTGATATATTTCCCTGAATATCGTTGTTACTGAGTGCATATTACGGCTGTGGGGAACATATATAACAAATCAGATGAACAATATATATGGGAGCTATATCCGACTCAATTCGGTCGTATGTGACAAATTCCATCCCATTTGGGCTAATATTACACGTTTGGTATGCAATAAAAGGTAAATCGGCCGAAGTTATATATGGGAGCTATATCCAAATCTGACCCGATCTAGATAAAATTTAGCAAAGGCATTTAATATATTTCTCCAAATATTGTAGTTACAGAGCGCATATTACGGCTGCGGAGGACAAAAATAACAAATCGGATGAAAATTATTTATACTGGAGCTATGGCTATATCTGAACCGATTTCAATCAAATTGGGCAAACTTATTTTCAGGTCTAATTTGGTCGTGTGTGCAAAATTCCATACTATATTACACGTTTGCTGCACAAAAAAGTCAAATCGGACGAAAATATATGGGAGCTATATCTAAATTTTGACCGATAATCTGCAATTTCAAAAGGGTTCGTCCTTGGGCCAAACAAATGATTTGTGCACAATTTCATCTGGATCGGGCAATATATGCGACCGGTACTTTTTTTACAAAAAAACATGGACAGACAGACAGACGGATGGACGGAATACATAAATCGACTCAGAATGTGATTCTTTGCAGATCATCAAAAGGAACTATGGGTCTATCTCGTTTTCTTTTGCCTGTTACAAACAAGTGCACAAAGTCATAATACCCTGACCACCTTGTGGTGTTGGGTATAAAAATATAGGTTACTTCTGGTAGTGAATTTGATAACAATCATATATTGCATGAAATAAAATTGTTTGCTAAGTGTACGAGTTTCACTTGGAGTTACTGTATGATTCGAGGTTGACATGACATATCTACACCAAAAGGTATTTTTATAAAACCAAAAAAAAAAATTAATATTTCCAACCAATTTCATTCTTGTTGTTTTGTCCTGGTCCAAAAATATAATCACTAAAAAATACTTTAGTTGTCATCACTGAATTCAATGGCGTGCACTTAGAAAATGAACAAATTTAGCAAAACACACACATTCAGAGAGCGAGAGAGCATTAATGTTCCACGATTTGTTTTCGTTTAAAAGATGGGGGTTTCTTGGGTGATTTGCTGTTATCGATGAATAAACCTTACCTTTTCAGTGGTGGAGTCACGAATTTCAGCGGTGTGAGTGTTGGAAAGAGCACGAGAGAGAGAGGGTTGGGTTGTTGTTTATGTTATGCTCTGCTTTATGGAGAGAGAGAGACACAATAAAATACACCAAGAAGAAATCAACAAAAATGTTGCACAAAGGTAGATTTGTTTTTTTTTTCTTTTTCGTAAATATTTTTTGCTGTTAAATTTTAGCTTTCACCGAGATTTTATTTTGGTTTAGAAGAAAACAAATACTCTTTTTTTGCCATTTAAGGGGGTATAATTTTTTGCTTTGGAATTATTTGTTAACATTTATTTCATTTATATTTTTGGATTTTAGATTTTATTTATTTCTTTACTTTTTTCTTTGTTGAGCGGTGATGGAAGAACTAATTTTTTGTTGTCGTTGAGCAATAGTGGTTTTGTATTCTTTTTTTTTAAATATTTTTTATGATTTTTCACACATTTCAATTGGCCATATTTTGGTATATTTTTGCTTATTTCTCTGCTTCTTCTTCTGGTTGTTTCACTTGTAGGTATATACACAAACACACGCACACAATTTATACATTCATGCTTTTCACACAAATTACTCTCAATTTTTTTTATTTATTTTTTATTTTTATGGTTTATGTTTTCCACGCTTTCTGGAGGGGAAGACGATTTTTGTTTAATAAATATTATTTATTTTTTTATTATTGAAAGCATGGGAAATGCAAAATATGAAACACCAATTTTTCCCTTCTCTTTATTCTTCCTCTTCTTCTTGTATTTTTAACAATTGAATGCAAATTTCCATACAATTTCCTCCCATTCTAATGGCAATTTAAGCCAGGGGGCGACGCACTAACACCCATTTACACTTTGCCATTATTGTGGATTTATCACTTTTTCATCATCATCGCACCATCACGATTATTTACTCTGTGGATTTCAATATAATTTAGGTTTTATTGATTTAACAAATTCGCACTTCCGAAACCCGTTTTTATGAATTTTTAGGCCCAATACAAATTTATGGCCAGTACCCACCAATTCGCACGAATGGCGTACTAAATAAATTTTCTATTTTGTTTGGATATTTTTTGCGTTTCCTTTATTTTTCAATTTCCCATAAAATTTCTATGCATTTTTATTCTATTTTATCGAGATTTTTTTTTGCATTTGCTTGCAATTGCACCTCAGCGCCAAGTAGGAAAAAACACAACAAAATATACCTATGTAGGTAGGTAAGTAGATAGGTATGAGAACACACTGCGAACAAAAAAACAATATCAGCTGCTATTGCCACTGCTGCTGCTGTTGTTGTTATTGCTGTGCATTGCAATCTCGCGTTTTTAATTCACAAAATTTCAAAACGGCCCGTACTCCAAAAGAGTATTTTCTCGACTGACTCGACTCTGGTGTAACTGAATGTTTTGCCATGAATCGTTCGTTTTCAGTTTGTTTCGCATACAGCATTTTGTTATTCTGCCTACGTCTCCAACAAAACAACAAAAATAAAAAAATACCCCTCCATATAACCAACCCGACCGACCCCGCCCACCATATGCTTGCTCCAACGCTCGCTCTTCTCATGACGGCAGTTTAAAACATCAGCATCAGCCAAACAACCAAACTAAGCGAGAGCGTCCAACAACGACGGACGGCATTGCAGCAACCCATTCAAAATGCCCAACAACCACACAAATCACATGTGAGAGTGTGCTCCCCCAAAATCATAACAACCGCCGCCGCATCCACACGGACAGACAGACCACAAAGTAAGCTTTGAAAATAATTAAAGGAGTCCTCAATTATTTTGTTTATAAAACTTCCATTATTTTCATTAATACTTTTCGAAATTGTTTCTCCAAATATTTTCATTATTTGTTTCTTTCATTATTACCTAGTTCGCGGAGATTATTGTGGTGTGGTGGTGGTGTTGTTGGAGACCAACAGAGAAAGAGATTCTAAAAATGTGTCTCCCCCCAAAAACACGATTTGTTTATTGTTCTCATCTCTCTTTCTCATCTCAATGGGGTTTTGTTTTGATTTGGTTCGTATGGTAACAGTGATGCTAACTTTCGAGTTATTAAAACGGCAGTTGTTTAGAAAACGACTTTGTTTTCAGCTTTTGCATGGTAAAAGAATACAGGTAGTCGCATCAATACAGCTGCTGGGACAATGAACTGTCAAATCAATTTTGAAATTGAAAATGTTGCATGAAAAATGAATAACAAACATCGATGAGCGCCATATAAGAAAATATACAAAAATATACTTATTTTTAAAAAAATGAAATTAAATTTTTTACATATCAATGTTCCCAGGAGTTAATGCATTTACCTGCATTCTTCTACCATGTTATTAGTATATACTGGCACTTTTTACTTAAAAAAATTGCCAAAACAATTGTTTGAAAATTAAAAATGGAAAGAATTAAAGTTTTAAGTCAAGTTTTTCTCCAATGTTGCTATCGACAGGAAAATTAAATTATGCCGACAATACATAAAAGCATGGTAGAATAAAAAGGTAAGGTAGAGCTACCGGCTGATTACCATTGTTTTCTAAGTGTGCCCGACTTCTGTCAATTTTGTGTATGTATTTATTGTTTTGAAAAATGAAAACAAATTATTTTCAAAACCAATGATTGGAAGACACGTACTTTGCGGCTTGCTCATTAAAGCTAATAACCAGTTTAGCCATGAAATCGAAAGATTGAACAGTTTATATCCAATTTTATGCGAAATCATAAATTTCAATAAATCTCATATCAGATTTTTGGTTAAGAGAAATATTTAGATATAGCAAGTTGTAAAAACTCGCCGAATTGTTTTGGGCATTGTTGTTTTATGGTCGTTTTTGTTATTCAAAACCTGGACCCTTTGTGGGAGAGGTACCAGAAGGAATAGTCCGATCTCTACCATATTTTTAACAGATCCTGTGTTGATTGAAATATTAAAATATACCAAGTCTCAGTGGACTCGGATATTAGTTTCCCGTTTTATGAGCTTCATGGATACTCAACATTTTGAACCCTCTGTGATTCCATTTTCCATTTTCCCAACAGATCTTGTGTAAGTAAAAATAATGGCATGTGTGAAATTTGAAGACAATCGGATGCTCATTTCGGATTTTATGATCGTTTTTGTTATTCAAAACTTTAACCCTCTGTGGGGGAGGTACCAAAAGAAATGGTCTGATCTCTACCATCTTTATAACACATCTTGTGTTGATAGAAATATTGAGATTTGCCAAGTCTGAATTAAAGGCTTCATGTATATTCAAAATTTTGATTCTGTTTAATGGTGGGGTGGGGTAAGTACCAGAAGTAGGTACCATCCTTGAGTTAAAAAAAAATATTGTGATGTGTGTAATTTGAAGACAATCGGGCTGTTACATCAGATTTGATAAAAGTTATAACTATCCAAAATTTAGACCTTTTATGGGGAGGGGACCGATATTGTCCATTTTCGCACCTGATCTAGCATTTATGCAAATATTATAATTTGCAAAGTTGGAGCAAAATCGTATTATTCTTTCTCTTTCTGTGTAGTAAATTATTTTCTTTGAAATTATTGATATTTTGTGGGGGAGTTACCTGGAAGAGTGGACCGATATTGCCCGTCTCCGAACTCGATCTAAGTTTGATAATAATCACCCTTATTACGGCTGGCGTAGTCGTATCGAAAATTGCAAGTTGACGCGTCGTAACGACTAATTGGTATTATGTGTGTCGTATGCGTGAAATTACAACTCTGTATGAAATTCTGTTACAATTTTCGTACCACAAGACGCGTTCTAATTAGACAAACACTGCAAAATTAGTCGTTAGAGATTTTGTTGCCGACACCACACAAAAGCTTATCCAAATTGACATTACAAAAGAATAAATAATATACAAAATGGATTTTAATAATCTTTTTCCAGATTTATAGTCAGAACAAAGAAACAATTTGACAAAATGATCCAGATCTTGCAAATTAATCGAAATTTGTCTAGAGGTTACAGCAGTGGCTTGAAAAAAATTGACATCAAGGAAGAATGGTGCAAAACTCAATATCCTAGAACCGCCGGTTGGATAAAAGTCTGGACCGACAACAAATTCAAATTGAGGAAAAAGCTAGTTCATACCAAGGCAGAATGTCGTGCTACAGATGGAAGCCTCTTCAAGCAGTTCATTTTAAGCGACACGGAGGAAGCAGCATCACACTTGTTACAATTAGAGACAATTGTAAATGCAGGGAAAAAACAATTGGAATTCAACAGCGTCCAACACCTGGTGATTTGGAGACTGAGGAGGAACTGTTTGGAGGGTTTGAAATTAGTGAAGACAAAGAAAACCACAATCCCTGCACACTGACTTTTCCAAGGATAAACAGACTACACCGAAATACGCAACGGAATATGGATGTGGTCATCCAGAACTTAACATATTTCAATATTTAATTAAACAAATAATCGTTTTACTTCAACCATTTCAACTGACGCCTTTATTTCTTTTGACAGGGTAGCTCGTAAATTCAAAAAATATGTATTATTCCAGAGCACTCTGCTTTTTCATATCTATTACAAAGAAGACGTAGTCGAAAATTGTACATAATACCAAAAATTTCTAGTTACGACAACGCCTACGACTACGTCTACGTCTACGACACTTGAACGCCTACGACAACGCCAACCATAATAAGGGTGAATATTACGATGTACCAAGTTTGGATCAAATCGGATACTCCCTTCGATAGTTATCGTGCGCACCGATCAGCCAGACCGACAGATGGACATCGCTAGATCGACTCCAAATGTCGTGAAACGGATTTGGTCCAAAGAGACCTAGGGTCTAAAATCGGTTTATCCATGAAGCAAGTTTTGGTCGTATCAATGACATATACCCTCTCTAGCCATATGGCTGAGGGTATAATTAGAAACCAATAAGTAAAATATATTCAATAAGACCGCACATCAATACTAATTTTAACACATGTTCAAATACTAATTAAAGCATGGCATAAAACACATTGTTGATATAATTTGATAAACGCTCTTTATTACGATTTATGACGTTTATAACGAAATACAAAATAACTCGATTGGCATCACTGCCATGCTCAGCTTCACTCTCGCACACATACTTAACTGTTATACCCGATGAGCACACACGGTAACACATTCCGTTCAATGTTTGTTATATTTATGAAGCATCTTTGCTGCCGCCTTACTTTACTTTGCAGCCTAACATAACACATAACTTGGCAGCACTTTTTTTGTGGGTTTACATGCATTTGAATAGCGGAGGCCTTTATTCTAATGGGAAATTAAGACATTTTTGTCAATAGTCAATAGTCAAATTAAATATTAAATATTAAATTAAATTTGGTACATTTGAGAAAGGGTAGTATCTCATATAAAAAATATGTAATCTGATAATTAAAGTTTAAGAAAACATTTTATTGTTGGAAAATAGGCTTAATCCCATTTGGTACCGTCTACATAAGTTTAATGTGTGCAAAAATGATTTTTCATATAACTTTTGAACACAATAAGTAAGGATTTAAAAATATGAGTTATAATAGAAATTTGAGAGAAATAAAGGGCTTGAAAATTTTTAAATTAAAAATAAAATTTTCAAGTTTTTAGTGAAAATATGAAATCTTTTAATGTTTATAATCTATAAAAAGATATATGTGTTATAAAACAAAATTTCTTCAAAACTTCATTAAATTTTTCCCTATATAACAATTTGAATTTTTCCATATATTACTATCACATTACCACACATTGAAGTAATAATAAGAGTTCCAGGTGCAATATCGGAAATTTATCCATCGACATTTTAACTGCGGCTTTAATTTAAATTCAAATATTGATACAGGTTAAATAATAACCTGGCTATTAATGCTTGATAATTTAAATTTTTTTTGAGGTTTTTAATATTTTCTTAATTTTATAATACCCTTTCCCGAATTAAATTAAGGTAAATTAAATAACCGCCCATTATCCGCAAAATTGAGAAAATAAAATAAATTAACAGAGCTGAGCATGAGTTGCGAGAAAATAAATATCTCCGTTCAGACAGCCAGCGGATTCAATATCATTATTCCATTCAACTCATTCATTAACTCAGCGCTTTTTCCCCATTTTATTTTATTTCATTGTTTTTTTTTTTTGGCAAAGGCATTCATTCTTCTCCGCGCTCAAGGCAAAAACGTGTAGGATGGAATAATAGAATAAATCGATGTAATGACTGAAATGCATGTTAATTAACATATCGACCGAGGCATGGATTGGCATGAACGAACGGGTGTCGAGCGAACAAGTGATATGGCTTCCAACACACAGCAAAAAAAAAAAAAAACAAAAACAAGAAAAAAGGCAGATAACCTCACCCTTTGTAACATTGAAGGCAATAAAAAATTGCATGACTCGAACGAAACAAAAGAATTGAGGAATGCCAAAGAAGG